GTCTGAAAATAAATGTTACCTAGCCAAATGCCTCATCATCTATTTAGTAAGACAGAGACAATTTTTTTTTCCACTCTAACAACAAAGGTACAGGAAATAGGAAATTTTAAACACTCCATGTCAGCTGGAACATGGACTCCCACTGAACCGGGATGACCATTGTTAACAGGGAAAAAAAAATACTGTACACTCTGAAGCTATATGCTTATAAAATCCTTTTCCAACCTTTTCCTGTTCTACATTCCTATGTGAGGTTTTGTAAGACCTTAATCCAGAATTCTTTACTTTCTCTCTCTGTTTTATATGCTTCTTTCTATAATTCCTATTCCTAATGTTCTTAAAAGCTATGGGAGCAGTGAGGCATGAGATTCATCATGATTATCACCCCAATTTTGCTGATTGTGGGTTCCAGGCCTGTCAGATATAGCTTGGCATGAGTCCTTTGTGCACCAGATAAAAGCATTACCACGGAAAACTACTTTTCTGGCGTTGGAATGGAATTGTTAAGCAGCTCAATATCTATTTGGAAAATGTGTGCTGAAAACTTGAAAACCGATTCAAAAAGGAAGATGACTTGCTATGATACCAGAGCATCAAAGCTCTTGTCAAAACTCTTGATAATTGTCAACTCAAACATTGACATTAAAAGTTTGGCATGAGGTAGTGATGGCACGCTTGCAGTACCAAACCGTGCAAGGCAAATATCTTGCTAATCCACTGCTGTTGGCAACTGCCTTAAGTTGCAATCTTCCTATTTATTACACATAACACGGCAGAAGAAATACTCATATATTTTTCATCACATTCTCTCTCCTTAATGAAAATCAATTACAGAAGTCAATAGGAAAGAAAGTACCTCTGTATTTTTGACACAGTTATAAGCTGCATTTGTGTTTGATGAACTTCTGGATGGCTAAGGAAATGAACTGGGCATTCAGAGATGTCTGTCTGTCTGTCTGTCTGTCTGTCTGTCTATCTATCTATCTATCTATCTATCTATCTATCTATCTATCTATCTATCTATCTATCTATCTATCTCATATGGCCACCCCCAAGTGAACGACTTTGTGGCATACAACAAAGCTAAAACAATATTTTATTTTTTATTTATTTGTATCCTGCCTTTATTATAATTAATGAACACTTAAAAACTATAAAAACAGCTAGAGCAAGAATAATAGACAAAGGTATGTTAATAGTAATGGAGCCACCACACTAATTCATTTACCCTCTGAGGTCCCCAGCTGGCTGGCATAACCAGGTCTTTAGGGATCTTCAGAAACTTAGAATTGATGATGCCATCTTCACCTTGGGCAGGGGGAGATTCCATAGCAGGGGGGGCACAGCAGGTCTGCTGCCTAAGGCCTGCAAAAATATAGCTAGACACTCTGCTAGATCTGGTGGGACAGGTGGATGAAATCAGAGAAAGGTAGCAATAACCTCAGTCCTATGCCATGTCAATACCAATATCTTGAATGGGACTGGAAATAAACTGGTAACCAATGCATCTTGTGCAACAAAGATGTAACATGTGTGCTCTACCAGAGGCACACATAACTGTGTCAATGCATTTTGCAGTAGCTGAAGTTTCCAGTTACTCTTATACATTATAATATATTATTTACTATTATATATCATGTAATGTAATAATATAGATATTAGAGGACTTATTGTAGCTTTCCTATAGATCACGGGTGTCAAACTCGCTGCCTCATGTGATGTGTCACAACGTGTTGTGACTTTTTTTGCATTGCCAGAGATGGGGTGGACGCCACCTCCACATGATGCTACTAGCCTGCAGGCTGGCAGTTTGACACCCCTGCTATAGATTAACCATAAATGCTGGTTCCAATAAAAGAGAATACATATGTAGCTCAGGGTTGAACTGTGGAGTCCTTGATGCTCTCTGAGTTTGGATGTTTGCTTGCGGACCTTTCATTACTTGGCTAGATAATATAGTCAATGCTAGTAAGTATGGGATTTACTCCCTGTTTATATACAGTAGCTTGTCATGTCAGTGTTAGTGGGGATGTGATTTTCACTTTGGTAGTTCCTTGATTAGGGTATTGTTTTTTGCTTGATTGTTTATCTGGTGTTAATCCATGCTTATTTAGGTATTGGTTGTTGGAGAGAATGGGTTCTGGTCTTTTTGTTTCCTTCTCAGCATTTTTATTGTCTTTTTTAGATAGTGTGTAAATACAGTTTATCTCTATGGGTCTATTGATGGCTGATTTGTTTAAATGCCACACTTCCAGGAATTCTGTAGCGTTTTTGGATTTAGCTTGGTCTAGGATGTTCACAGTTGATGAGTCTGCAATGTGAGATTAAGCAGTTTTCATTATGTCTTATGACTGCTAGTTGGTGTTCATGATGCTCTGTGTTAGTCTTCTGCCTGTATGTCCTACACAGTGGCTGTTGCAATGCTTACATTACATGTTGTAGATGAGTTATGTTTTTTTCTTCTTGTGCTACTGGGTCTTTTGGTATACTTAGGATGTTTTGGAGGACTGTAGTTTGTATGAGTTTAGACAGATTTATATTTTCTCTAACAAAACAAAGATTGTTTTCCTCCTGTGGCATTTATATTTACATTTGCTCGTGACTTTTTCTTTCTTCTTTTTAGCAGCTCTATTTGCCCGCATATGTTAGATAGCAGGTTGAAGTGGGAACCAGCAGTTTTCTGGCTAGAGATGTCAGTTATATAACAACTGCTTGGCTTCAAAGTCACCAAACACACGACATGAGTTCATTAATTCATGGGAAGAAAGGCAAATGGGAAGAAGGGCATATAAAAACAAGTTTAAGTCCATGTAGGTATAAGAGTCATTTATCATTATTGGCTGTGGCCAGTCAGCAGTTATCTATGGCTCCATTCTTGTCTGCAAGAAAGATTTGTAGGTAGCTGATTCATTCTTGTGAGACTTCTGGCAAGTATAACCCAGAAGCTGAACTAAGCTATATGGTGTGGCAGGAGAACATTGATTTACTGCTGAGTCCTAGTTGAAGAAGCCTAACATTAAAGTAGCCAATTAGGCATCCCCCCAAAAATAAAAATAAAACAAAGGAGCAACAAAAAACAAAACAAAAGTGAGCCAGTTTGGTATAATGCTTAAGACACTGTCACAGAGACTAGGAGACAATGAATTACAGGCCTTTCTTAAGCATGAAAGCTGATTGGATTAATTTTTGGCCAGTCACTGTCTCTCAGCCCAACTCCTTTCACAGAATTGTTGTGTAGGAAAAATAGGAAACAAAAGTATTAGGTGGGTTCATCACCTTGAGATTTTTTTTTAAAGTGTGTGTGTGTGTGTGTATAGGGGAGAGAAAATAGAAACACCACCATCATCTGCAGGTTGCATATCCTATTTTCTATGTAGATATGCAAATATGACATCTCCTGTAATTTAAACAGAAATAAAATATCATAGGGAACTGAAGTAACTGAATTCCTTCTGGGGTTGACTTTTGCTGGGCAGTGTCAAGACTCTGCCTTTTCTTTTTATGACTTTTTTTAAAAATTGGGACTTTCAAAAATAGAATGCTTTCAAAGAGAAGATTGTCCTCTGGATAACCCTTCGAAGAGATGAGACCTGGACAACCTATTTTTACCTCCAGTAAGTACTTGTAAGTGCTTGGGAAAAGAACTTGCTGCCTCTGGAGGAAAAGTAATGATTGTAAACAGAGCCTGACTTTCCATTTTTGAATTTATTTACATGCTCAACTGCAATGAACCATTTTTGTAAGATTCTGTAGCGGGTGAAAACAGAGACAAGTGCAAAGGTGCTTTTCAATTGGCAACTGGACTTTCTTGGTTTTTTTTCTCCTTTGAAAATGTTTCACCTCTCATCCAAGAAATGTCTTTGGTTCTAACTGGTTCTTCAGTTGCCTTTTGGAAAAAGCACCTTTTGGATAAATCTGCAAAGGTAGAATTACAATATGAACATGGATGGTATGGAGCAGAAAAGTTCAACACAGTGCAAGGTAAGGCGAAACAATTACAAACTGACATCTTAGGATCAGTGAATTGAGATGGACTGGGACTGAATGCTTTCAGTCAGAAGATCACACAGTTTGTTACTCAGGATCTCAAAACCAAAGAAGAAGCAGTGTTACTTTTATACTTAGGAAGGACATAGCAAGAACAGTACTTGGCTATAAGGCATTCATTAACTGAATAATATCAGATAGACATCATTGACAACCCTTTAATATGACAACCATTCACGTTTATGCTCCATCCACCATGCAGAAGAGAAGGTTGATGACTTCTATCAAGTCAACTTGAAATCGACAGAACATGCAAGCAAGATGTGGCTGCTTGTTATTGAAACTCTTTATGGCTGATTTCCCCTCCCCCCCAATTTACTTGTAAGATTACCAGCATTTTTTCTAATGCAGTATTAGCAGCTTTTTTCCTTATCTGGTACTCTCTAGATATAGTCGTTAATTGATCTGTAGTTCCTGTATTTCTGAGGTAGGAAGACCTGCTGCTCCCGTAAGGGGAATTAAATTTAACACATCTAAAGAGCAATTGACCAGGAATGATGGGAAAAAACAATGGCAGAGACATCTTATTTATATTTTCTTTATTCAGGTTTGCATAACACAAGCATCTCTGTCAAAGATCTGAGATTACCTAAGACTGTCACTCACAGCTTGGGAGGGTAAAACCAGCAGGAAACCTATGGGAAAAACCTGTTTCAGGAAATCCTATATGCACATGAGAAATTCTATATAAACACTTCTATTGCAAAGTGTGAGAGGAGAGGCTGCTGGTGCTTAGTCCCCTTACAGGGGTGGGGAATGATGGTCCTTTTATGACTCGTGGACTTCAACTCCCAGAATTCCTGAGCCAGCCACAAGTCATAAAGAAGCCATTGTTCCCCACTTCTGCTTTAAGACCTCTCCTTAGGCAGTCTAGCAACTGATATCTATAAAAGCTGAGCAGAGAGGCATCTGGGGGTGTTGGTGTATGAGTGTTGGTGTGGGAGTGGGAGGGAAGGTGGTTTGTGTTAGTTTGGGAAACTAGCTTGAAGCAGCCTAAGGCAAATTTACTGTTTCTGTTCTCCAGAAATAAGGCTCGCAAAGTGAAGAAGTAGTGGAGGAATAGGAGTTGTAGTTGACGAGAAGACTAGTAAACAGTGAGTACAAGCTGTTGAGTTCTTGTGGGTGTGTTGCTTAGAGGCCAGGTGGAGTTGTGTTGGCTCTCTCGGAGTTTTGGAGTCCACTAATGTGGGTAAAAGAGTCCACGGCACAATGCCATAAAGAGGAAAACAGATGGAGAGTGGCCAGAATATATTCCAAGAACTGCTGATCACCAAGCCAGAAAAGTTGCATTATGACCTGGAATTGGGTGGTTTATGAACAGAAAAGGAACTTTGGGAGGACTTGACCATATCAGATCCTTTATTTTTATTTTCAGAAATGGCTTAGAAAAGCAAAAGGCACTTATTTATCCACAACAGTCTTTTATTTCTTGCTTCAGAAAAGAATGTAAGTATTTTTCTTTTCTAAAACAGTATGCTATTTTCCATACTGCTTAAAACGCTCAAGTCAAGGATTGTGGTGCTTATTCAGAACAAGATTTTATTTGTGAAGCTTAATTCTTTTGCTTTGTTCAAACAGAAATCCAAGCAAACACCATTTGTCATATTTGTCATAGTCTCCAAAGATTAGAATATAAACCCTGACAAAAGAAACCCATATGCCTTTATGAAACATGCGCTTGTAATGTTTTACTACCCCATGGTAGGATTCTTGATGTAAAGGGTAGGTTACCAGATTTACAAAAATAAAAACCAGGACTTATTGGTTTGTGTACATTTACATCATTAATAATGTCACTCTAGAGCACAATTTCCAAAGAATCCTGGGCAAAATATTAAAAAAATGGAACAAATCCCTGACATCAAATTTCACATTTCCATGGGAATATACGCACTACCCACAATATCACAAAAAGTTTGTGAACTACTTCTCAAGACTATTCCCCTGATAATTATCTTCTTGTATAATCTGTATAATATTTTTTTGGGGGGGGGGGAGGAATGGCTTCATTTTTCGGGAATGCAATGTAGAACCCAGCACAGCTGTTAAATACAGTGTGACCTTCAAGATGAACAATGATTTTTAGAGTTACCAGTTCTGTATACAGGTCTTATTTTGTAAATATGTTCTACAGAGGCAATCATGCCAAAGAGAGATCCAGAAAATTATAACTAGACTGGCTTTAAAATACTGCCCATAGACCACAAATAGGTAAAGGTTCTGGTCCATTAATCATCATCTAGGATTTTTCCTTCTTTTTTTTTTTGTACAATGCTTCTTTACATATGTCAGTTCTCAAACAAATCTTAATTCATTTTGCATTTACCACCTGTAGAGAGCTTCCACCCTTTCCCAAATATAGATCTTGTGCAGCAGAGAACGTAGGCCAATCACTGAATGAGTTCCCCATTTTTTAGATAAGCCATACATCTATCACAGAAAGAAAAGGCACATTTCTGGAACTGAGTCTCAAACTCTTGACCCACATCACTTCTTTCTTCTCTTCTCTCAGCCAACTTTTTTTTTAAGAACAATGTCTATCTCACTGGTGGGTTTTTTCTATAACTTTTATCGTTCTATTGAAGACAGTGAATCCATTGTCCAGAAAGCAGAGCCAGATTTTACCAGAAAAATTATGAAAGAACACAGGAGTTGCTGTTGGGACCAATTATTATGAAAAGTAAGATTGGAAAGCATAAAGAGCTCCAGCAACCTGTATCTACTGAAGACTTTAGGGGAAGTTTTGCTTATATTAGAGATTTTGCTCATATATTGAGATATTCCAACTCAACAAAAACTCAACAAATTTCTATCAAATGTGTGATTCTGATGGTATAAAGAAATGACTTAATGTCAAAAGCCTGCCAACAGCAGTTTGCACTGCATTATGGGTATTGTGGTCTGCACATCCCACTCCACTTAAAGAGTTTTTGAAGACTGCTTCCTTTAATCTTTAAAAAGTATTTTTCTCCCTGCTTTAAACTTAACCACTGAAATTAATGTTTGTGCTGCCAGAATAAAATCCAACCACATTTTAGTTATTTGATTTCTATAGTTGCCCATCTCAACATCTGCCTCGGAATACATCATAAAAACAATAAAACAATTGAAAACAATATACACATAGATATTTCCTTCTCACCTTTTATGGGTAGTATGTGTCTTCCTCAATCTTGGTTCTTCTACCAGAGACTTGAGAGTTTGAGCGTTCTGCACAATAGCTGTTCCTAGCACTGCACTCTTTTGGACAGAGAGCTCTGATGTTGCTCCTCGGATCTGTTGGAGCCCCCGTCCCAGTTTAGGAGTCACGGCCCCAAGTGCTCCTACCACCACTGGAACCACTTTGGCCTTTACTTTCCACATCTTCTCCAGTTCCTCCCTCAGACCCTAGTTTTTCAGTTTCTCATAATCCTTCTCCCCGATGTTGCTGTCATTTGGCACTGGCACATCCATCACTACCATTCTTTTCTAGTCCTTCTCTGCTACCATAAATTTACCAGTACCTGTCTGTCTGTCTGGGTCTGGAAGTCCCATAGGATCTTAGCCTTCTTGTTCTCCACAACCTTTTGCAACTTTCTCCCATATAGGGTTAGGAGGGTCTCTCTAGCACAGTGGTTCTCAACCTTTTTAATGCCGCGACCCCCAACCGGTTGTAAGTCGAGGACTACTCAACTGGTCATAAGTCGAGGACTACTCAACTGGTGCAGCACCGTTTGCAGAATGGGACTTTTGGCAGGCTCAGCAGGGCAGAGACAGCCTGGACAAGTCCTATTGGCTTTTGAAAGCCAATAGAATTAGACTCTATTCAAGAGAGTCTATTCTATTGGCTTTCAAAAGCCAATAGAATAAAAGGGAGTAGCACAGCTAAGGAAAAGGGGGAAAAAATAGTGGACTGCGTTGTTTGGCGACCCCCGTGAAATGGTTGTTCGATCCCAAATGGGGTCCCGACCTACAGGTTGAGAACCACTGCTCTAGCACATATTCTGTACAGTTATTCTTGTACATAGTATCAGCTACTTGGTAATATCATTCAGTATATGTTATTTCTACCTGCATCTTATACTCTGCCACTGTGTTTGTAATTTTTGTTTGACAAATAAATAAATTCAAATGAACAAAGTGAAAAAAAAAACCTAAGATGTGACAGGGACAATAGGCAAGTTAGTGCTCTTACACACGCCTTCTTAGGAACCTCTTAAATATGGGATGAGGTCCACAGAAGTTAAGTTAGAATATTCAAGCTTTTCACAACTGTTACAAAAATCTTTTTTTTTTGCAATGGAATTTAAAGTGGTTGACTGACATTAAGTTTAAAGCAGTTATTCACGTGTGTTATATTACGATTAAAACATTTTTTACATTACTATGTACAATTTTGTATGCAATACCGAAATCTAACCACAAGCATTGCAGTTCTATCCAAACCAAGAATTTGAATCCTAGTAGCATAAGGTATGTTATTATGCGCAGAAGAATGTAAGACTTCTCTTATAAAGTATTTCTGAACTTGTTCGATTGTCTGATATGTGGTAAGGATTCCAAAGGGTTGAACAGTATTCTAGGATTGGCCTAATGTGTGTTTCGCAAGCTCTGGTGAACAATATAGTATTTACAGAATTTATTTTTGTAGAATTAAATTTACAACTTTTAGTGCTTTTTTTTTTTTAACAATGCTGTTACAATGAATTTTTACAACATAAATTGTTAGGTCCTTAACAAAGCGAGGATCATCTACTACATCAATAACACCTAACTTATACTTTATTGGAATGTTGGACTGTCTCTGAGGCTTCTCTGCATTGCCTGCACCTTGGGGTCCTGTCTAGTGTGGTAGACCCCTGCTTCTATAGATCTGGTGCTTAGTCCTTGTTCTTGTGCTGCTATGATTAGTGCTTAGTGCTGCCTTTTAGTTCAGCCCTTTCCAGTCACTGGTAAGATTTCCCGATATCTGCCACCTGGACTGTTGATGGCACAACCCATACAGTCTTATCTTGTAATGGCACTTTTTCTCCTACATTTGCTGCTGCCTCAAGCATTCTTTCAGCAGCTCATCTTTGGGGGCCATATAACTGATGTACTTCTGGATGCTCTGGGTTTCATCTATGACAGTGGCTTTGACACTCATCGGAATCTGCCTGCCCTCTTTCCGGCTAGTGTACAGTCTCTGAATGTTAGACTCCTAATGTTGTGAAGAGCTTCTGAGTCTTCACATTGACAGCTTCCATGCTCTCTGGCCAACTCATTATACCGGCAGATATCTGATTATTGGCAGAGCATTCATGTTGATAGCATTTATCTTGTTCTTTCCATTGAGTTGGCTCTTTAGGACTTGTCTGATCAACAGTTCTCACACAAAACCCAAGAAAAAGAAAAACAGTAACAGAAAATGCTGATCATGTCCATATGTGGGACATGGTCCTTGCACTTTGAATCCTTATTTTACCCAAAAGTTTCCCATTTGGCCACCAAAAGCTTCTTACTCATCTTTGTACTAAACAGATGACATCTGGGAGAGTGGGAGAGATGGCTGAGTGGGAAAGATGGTTCTCTTTGCCTTCCCTTCCGAAATGGTGGAGGAACATTCCAGTTTTTGCTGAGTTTCTACAAAATATCCCAAAGACACGCAAAGCTGAATTGCTGTTCTATCAGCAACACAGAACAGAAATCTGTGCCTGCTTGCAAATTCATGCAGCAGTTTGTTGCTTACTAATATAATCCTAATAAAGCACATGATATTACTGGGTTTAATTATATCATCCAGATATTAAGAGATTTACCTCTTGCTGTTCTCCATCCTGCTCTCAAACAATAATCTTTTTTCATCTTCTGCTCTCTGCATGAAACTGGATAGGTGTTCCATTTATATGGCTCTGGACTCTGGTTGTATGACTACCCAAACTTCATTTAATTGGTTCAGAAAATCTCAAACAACTAAAGGGGTTTTATCATCCTTGTCCTCATTCAAAGCATGAAAAAGGCTGAAGTAAAATATGAATATTCACATATTCAAAACTCTTGGAAATACCTCCTTTAAAAAGACACCTTGGTGTCTTGGGATATGGAAGGGGTTAACTGGCTAAAGCATGTTGGAAGCCCTCAAAATGTACTGTTCCCATCATCCTCACCTTTGCTGGCAAGAATTTCCGGGGTCTTTAGTATCAGCACATTATGAGGACATCCTGGTTGGGAAAGGCTGATGTATGTAATTGCTACATGTGTACTGATAATAAAATGTGTTGGAATGCTTCATAAATATAAACAAGAATCTGTAATTCACTCTTTATTTTTGTTAAGAAAATGGGTACTCCTACCCTTTTTTCCTGCCTCCTATTTGATCTTCCTGTGGTTGTAGAACGGGGAGAGAAAGATCAGTGCTAGTGTAGTTTACTGTTTATAGGAAAATGCACAAAAGAGTGCAGCTGCTGTGTACATTCTTCCTATTTAGATGCACGTAAGAAAAATCATCAATAGCAATCCTGAAAACGAACTGCATTGATTAAGCTGTATATTTTTTTTTGAGCCATTGGTATAGTCACCTCAACATTCATGCACAATGTTGGGTTTATCTTCTTTATCTCTTTAGATATCATGATAAAGTACTTGCTGAAGAGGTATGCACTTGTTTTGATGACTTATGATCTTGTGTACCTGTGGTCGATTTGAACAAATAAACCATTCTTCTGTACACATAAAATACTTATCACCTGAGAAAGCCGGTTCTGGAGGTAGATGTTTATTGTTTATAAACAATAGAAATCCATCGGCACAAGTATTTACTTCTTTTTGTTCCTTGTCTAAGGTCTTTCCCACTGCTGAAATGAAGTGCTCTCAACCTATCCTTGAGCTGGCAGGAAACTAAACCAGCATGGAATTTGCAGTCTCCATTGTTGGTCCTTATGTTATCTCTCTTTCAAGTCCCTGCAACTGCTTGGCTTTTTTTTTTTTTTTTGCAAACTAATGATGACAGTTTAACTGTTTTTACCCAACTAGACCTTGTCCTTGGATGGTATCAATGGAAAATAAAACCTATTATAGCACTAGAGCAATGAGATAGCTTGTTTCATTATGTTCTGGGGCTGAGAACACCAGAAGGATATGCCAGAAAGCTGATATTCCTGGAGTACATTTGTGCTATGCTGGAGTTTGAATGAGGAAAGGATGTAAGCAGTGCTTTTTTTGTAAAAAAAAAAAAAAAAAAAAAAAAAAAGGTGCTGGAACTCACACATATCATACAACCCGTCTTGCCTACCCTACAAGGTTCCATCCAAAAAATGTGCCGGAACTCCATTCTGGATGTTCTATGACAAAAAAAAGCCCTGGATGTAAGTAAACCAGAGACAAACATCTCCACACAAACATCTATGTCCCCAAAAAGGTATATACAAGATACAAAATAGACCTACCGTGATTTCAGGCAACATCTGTAATATGTATATAAAGTTTTACTCTCCCCAAAAGATTTAATTGTGAGTTAAAGAATTAAATCCTCTCTCAAACCTGAGATAGTCTTGTTAGTTTAAATCATGGCAAATGTTACTTTTGAAAAGAAGAAAAAGACATTTTAAAATCATCTTCTTGCGAAAGACATACAATAGGTCAGGCAATACATACAGTATACTGTACTGAAATCAAATGATGAAGCCAGAGAAGTACTGTAAAGTGCTTTAAGAGATCATTTTATAAGTACTAATTAAACAAGATGAATTAATATAAATCATAGCAGGATATCAATTTCTTTTGTCTTTCAGATCCTGTTACATTAATTAACCCTCTTTGGCCTTCATTCTAATATGGATGAAGTTATATTTATGATAGGAACAGTTTTGTATCTTTGAAACTGGAGCACCGGGAGTAAAAACATGCAGCTTTTTTTACATGTATCTATACAGAGGTTCCTTATGATATTAGCACTTTTTAAAAGAATACTAAATATGGAAATTTGCAAAAAGCCTTTCTATGTACATTATATATAATTGTAATATATAATTGTCCATTGTATTTTTAGTTTATGTCCTAATATAATTCTTGATTACTTTTGTTCTCTTACTGACAATGGGAGCAAAGCTATTGTGATTTCCTGGGCAATGAATTACTTTGAACTTTTGGGGTCTATCACTTGCAAATGATAACACCCGTTACCCAGATTCCTAGTTGTCTTGTCTAATGCCTACAGGTTAAATTATCTTTATTGCCTTTATATACTTTGATTCAAACACAGTCTTGTTCCCAATCATGATTCTGCATTCCACAAGTTTTTCATTGTTCAGTTCAAGCATCAACTTTAACATTTCCTGGGCTCCTTGTAGCTTTTGCATGTCCTCTGTTCTTTTCCTTTTTGTGGTTATCTGGGGGAAGAGGGTTTATGTTTGAGGAACAAAATGCTATTGGCTATCTTTCCATTAAAAGATATTTTTTTGTGGCTCGGAGCTGGCCCATCACCATTTGTTGCCTGATAATACTGTTAGGTGACACCTTTCTACTCAACAATTCCACCTAGAGAATCTGGCATTACAAGATTGAATTGTTCTTTATCACTGGTGATGGGACTGCACCTTGAATCTCAGCTGAGGTCAGCAACCAGTTTAAGGGTGATGCATCATCAGCTGAAACGCTTATCATTTAGGACAGAGGTGAGCAATCTTTGGACTTCAGACTAATTTCAGAAAGGTTCTGCAAAAGATTGATTTAGATGTCTGATAAAAGCTACCTGTCTCTTCCTTACAGCCTGTGGGAGAGAGAGCATAAATCTCTCTGAGAATAAGAAAAGTGTCGTTGCCACCAAAATAATCCACTTTTGATTTGGGCCCTACCTATCGCTTTCTTCAGTACTCTTCACCGTATGTGGACAGATTACTTCTAAGGTAATGTGATCCCTGGCAAAAAAAGATAACCAATCTAAGGGTCTCCCCAGATAAGATGCATGTGAAAACCAGTGTGAAATTAACATTGAATGAAATGAAATTGCACTCTTAGCTATAACCTGGGAGTACATTTTCAAGTTTGACTATTGTTGATTGTGGGACTATAAAAAAAAACACAGTGCTAAATCCTATTTGCCTCTTTTCCAAGTCACTGCGGATTCCACCAACACACATTCACATACATGCCTGCTGGGTAGCATCTTTAGTGTCTCTGTCTTTCATCCTACATGTTTCAAGCCATATGTTCATCTTGGCACTCCTTCCTGTGCTATATTTTCTTATGACTAATTGCAGCCTGAGCACATAGCCTTGGATTTTTGAATATGGAGATGATCCATCTCTGGAGTAAAGCTGGCAGCCCTAGGGGAACCAAAGACATTTCAGTCCAGATGGGTATCCCTTGATGTCGCCTGCCTGAGAGCCCTAGTAGCACCTATCAGTTTCTGTATCTCACCCACCAAACTCTTTGTCAGCCTTTACCATCAGTCTGATTCAGGCTCCAGCTACCATGGAGATGCAAATGAAAATGACATTGTGAGGCCATGTCTTCATATATATTCTAATAAAAATATTATATAATTCATCATCATCATAATCATTGTCATCTTCATAAAATTAAGTTTACAATTTTGTATTTTTTTAGCCACACTGTTACAATGAACTTTAGACAATAAATCATTAGAGATGACCACACCTAGATCCTTAACAACATAAGGATCATCTGCCAGATCAATACCACCTAACTTATACTTTGCATTCTGATTTTGTTTTTCAATATGTAAAACTAATAATTTCTTAACCAAAACTTGAAGTTGCCAAATAGATGTCCATTCAAAACCATGACCATTGTCATTTTGCAAAATAAATAAATTTTTAGTATTAAACAATTTTACATCATCAGCAAAGAGGACATAATTACTTTTAAGTTGATCACATAAGACATTTATGTAAATCAGGAAAAGACAGAACTTAGAACAAAAGGAACATCACTATTAACTGATACCGAATCAGACATTGACTTGCCTATTTTAACTTTCTGCAGCCTATTAGACAAAAAACCAGCAATCCACTTGTGTAAAAATCCAGAAATACCATAAGAATTTAGTGTCAAGAGCAGTTTATCATGTACTATTTGCAGAAGTCCATGTAGATTACATCTACAACATTGCCTTCATCAAGACATGTTTAAATATTTTTACAATATTACAATATTTTACAAAATTACTCAACATTTTTTTAAAAACCAAATTGCTGGATAACAAGTTTTTTTCCCCTCCATATGGCAAATAATTGATTGAATTATAACTGTTTCCATGATTTTGGATGTAATGCAACACAGAGAGATGAGCCTGTAATTTTCAAGTAAACCGGGATCACAATTTTTAAAGATTGGAATAACCGTAGCTAATGACCATAAATTAGGCAAAGTACAAGTTTGAAACAATACTTCAAAACTGTACACAAAAATAGTAATAGTAATAGTAGTAAAGTTGGAAGGGACCTTGGAGGTCATCTAGTCCAACCCCCTGCTCAGGCAGGAAACCCTACACCATTTCGGACAAATGGCTGTCCAGTCTCTTCTTAAAAACTTCCAGTGTTGGAGCATTCACGGCTTCTGGAGGCAGGCTGTTCCACTGATTAATTGTTCTCACTGTCAGGAAGTTTCTCCTTAGTTCTAGGTTGCTTCTCTCCTTGTCACTAGTCTGGAAGAAAAAAATTCAGATGCTTTCAAATGGTCCAACTATTGTGTGAGAATGTATTTGGAGATAATCTCTAACTTAGCTCCCCATGTATTTTGCTTACACCATCAGAGTGAATTGCTTCATCCCTTCCTTTATTGTATGCTAATCTCTGGTGTTGGTCACAATCACCATGCAATTGTGAAGCAAATTAGTTTATTCAATGGGAATGCATAGTTCCTCTATCAGGCATATCACTAAAGATAGTGAACCTATGATGATATTAATCAGCAAGTCCCTGAATTCTTAGCTCTTTGGAGGACTTGAGTTGATGAAAGGTTGTTTTACAAAGTAGGGGGAAAGTGCAATTTAGTTTGTCTGTTCCTCCTTCTCCAAGCACACAAACTATCATACGCAAAGCAGTCTCTGTCTGAAAATTGCATATCTGGTCCCTCTTGTCTTGGGCAATTGCTAATGTATCTGCTATAATCAGGTCTTGATAAGAACTGCTGCCAACACAGTCAATCAGTCCCGTGTTTCATTTGAACATGATCAGAGCCCTTGGATTACACTAAAGCCAGCTTTATGTGACTGATGAGTTCCTGATTTCTGAGCTGTGCCAATTGCTGTTGTTCTTGCTGTGTATTCTCCCCGCCTAATTCATCACAGTGGTCTGTTTCACATTGTAAATAGTAAAAAAAAAAAAAAAAAAAAAAGTTTGTTGTGTGAACTCAAATCCTTAAGCATGCTTTGAAGTTCTGTGCTTTGTAATTCAAAAGTCATCTGGCTAGTGTCTGCTTTTTTGCCAGCTTTAATCAATGAACAATAATCAATTATCATATCAAAGTGTTCAGTGGCTTCCCCCAATGGTACAGTAATGTAGCTTGTGTGGCCTCATTTCCTGACATGACTCTGAACTAAAGCCAATGTCATGGAAGTGGTTTCTAGTCTCTCCCCCAATAGTATGGAGTTTCTCTCCTGTTTATACCCATGGGAAGAATTTGATCTGCCAGCAATGTCCGTTCTGTTTTTGGACAGACACAACAGGATCAAACCCAGGAAGCTTGGGGTCCTAATGTGAATCACCTTGCCTGCAGATGCCTGAGCTCTCAGCAGGCTTTCTTCTCTCCTGGTTTTTGTAAAATATATTTAATTAAAAATAATATTTGGAAAACTGTTATGCTGCCAAGCAAAATGCTAGGTTGCAGCACCGTATTTATTTTCAAGAATGCTTCTAGGAATTTCACACTGAAGCCTTCCTCAGGAGAACAACTGTAGCGTTGCCAAACTTCTTGTCATTGTTCCCAGGTCTGCTTTCCACAAAGTTGTTTTTGAAATAATGTGTATCTGAACATTAAATAAGGAAATCTAAAATGCTCTTATTTTTTTCCCCTTAGAACTGGGAATGAAAGAAGGAGAGATTCAGCAAAGATTCGCTCTTCCTAGCAGCCTACCTATAATTCTCTTTGGAGAACACATACAAGATTTACAAGAGAAAATATAACACAATAAGAGCAATAATATGGGATGAAACACAGGTAACAATTAGATGAATGAACTATACTGTAATTTGATTGTTAGATTTTGTTTTACTGTGTTTTATGAGTCTAGCCACTGTAGCTTTTAAAATCATGATAGGCTATGTTTAAAAGTCTTATAGTTTAGCACAGGGGTTCTCAACCTTGGCAACTTTAAGACTTGTGGACTTCCACAAGTCTTAAAGTTACCAAGGTTGAGAACCCCTGGTTTAGCAGAACTGGCTGGGGAATTCTGGGAGTTGAAGTCCATGCATCTTGAAGTTGCCAAGTTTGAGAAGCAATTTTTAGCTTGTAAATCCAGCCATATGAGCTCGGGTGTTTGGGGAAGATACTTTCAAAACAAGACAAATGAAAGAAAAAAGCTTGCTTTTATAGGGCTGGAATAATGAAAACCCTGCTTTTATAGGACTAGGTGGAGACAGATGGCTACCAGTACAGTCAGTGGGAGGGGGGTGGTAGTGATGGTATGGATAAAAAAAAATCAAGATGTGTAATAGATGCTCTCTCCTTTAACAGCTGTGCTTTAACAGTGTAGTTGCAGCCACCATTTTGATTTTTTTAAAAAATTGAATCGCCACTCTTTTAAAAACAGGCGAGTTTTTGATCACAACTGCTTTCTTGTCTTTTTGAACAGAAACAACCCTTTTCAAAAGGTGTGAGACCTCAGTCCTAACTATGGCCTCAGTCATGATCAATATCTTGGCTTCTTATACTATCTGGTTAATGCTCCTGGTTGTTCCTTCAGGTTCAGCCAATTGCTCAGACAGCTGCTTGTTGCGTCATAGCCTGGATAGGATTTATTTTATTTATATTCCAGCTTTTGACTAATAACCGGGGCTTAAGGCTGCTAGTATAGTAATAAAGGGAAAATGAAAAACTAAGCAGACTAAAGATACAATTAAAAATATAATTAAGGCATGATGAAAAAACACACCCATTAAACAGATAATGCCCAGCCCAATCCCCAACCTGCATTTACTTAAAACTTCTGCCTGAATAAAAACAATTTTGTCTGCTGGGGAAAGGATAGCAGAAAGGAATTGATCTTTGTTAGCCCTTTGTTAGACCAGACCAGAAGCACCAACTAGGAGTACTAACACTACAGTTACTGTAAGGTTACTGTAACAGAATTTGCAAGTCTGAAGGTACATCTCTCATCCATCACCTTTATGGTACAAGAAGCTAAAGAGGGTCCCTTCTGAGATGTTGCCAATAGCCCATTTCTTCTGTGGGCTAAACTACCTGTTATCTGAGCTTTGTCTAGTCTGCTGTTCCTCTTCCTATCTTTCAAGGATATCCTCACAGACCATTAAACTTTGGACTCTCCAGGCGTGATGTTGCCAAGAATATGAGCAACCTCTGGGTCTCCTTCCCAGTGATGCCTTTGAGAAATGCATCTTTGACTGCATGTTTTATAGCAAAAGTGGGTTATTCTCTAGTGTAGGCCCCTAGATCCATCTTCACTGCCCTTGAGCAGGGTTGTTTTAATTGTGGAAGCTACTACGAGAAGCTGAAATCTCCTCCCTCTTGGGCATTTTTTTCTCACTGCAACAATTCTTCTTGCCAATCAATGGTGAGAGCATTTTCTTTGCTTCCTAAAACAGTTTATGGTTTCTTCAGAGATCTTGTGGAAGGAAACCAAATTTGTGCTGTGAATTAATGGGCTTTTTAGATTAAGGGACAATGAACCTGTGCCTGATAGTCTAGTCTAAGAACATCATGACTGTCCAGCTCTTATATGTGTGTGCATATGTATAAAATATAATTCATGCCTCATAATTTTATTTTCAAAGGAACACACAACACTCTAATTGCTCCCTGCAGCTGGTATAAAACTTAACAGGAATGCAAGCACGGTTAAGAATTTTCTGAGTATTTAGCGAGCAAAGTGTTTGACTGAAGTTTAGGGCTTTGGTAGTGGCATGATGTGTATGAATTATTCACATTCAGAGTGATGGAGACAGATCCCATTCCTCAAGGGGGTCCTGTTTTGGAATCTGTTTTTCAAATGTGTTTCTCTCTAGCAACCAGGAAAAAACCCTTTTTTTAAAAAAAAAACAAAACACAACAGTAATGTGGCTTTGTTGTTGGATCAAAGAACTGAAATTTCTTGTGTTGTTTCTCTAAAGCCAGATTTTCTTATGTGAGGACAGCTGAAACACCTTAGGCTTGGACAATGAAAGATGGATTTTAGTTTTGAAATAGTTTTGCTCTATTGAAGCCTTACATGATATTAAGAGAACACTGCTGGAAAAGGATTAACTGTGCTCCATGATCTCTTTTTCTGCCAGGAAACCTGTTGCAGATGGCCTTCTGGAAGGCATTACAAGGAAATTTAATTTCTGCTGAAAATAAATCAGTATTAAAGCAAAATGGGACCAAGTAAAAATGCTCTGTGATTACAAAATAAGTCATTTTTGGAGGATATTTCCTTCACCAAAATCCTCATACACAGAACAAATAATTACAGTCTTTGTCGAGGCACTACTCCCTTGAAAGATGTATTACAGATAAGAGTTCCTGATTATCTGTTAATTCTTGTTGTAGCAATTTAATTATAGCGGAATGTTTGTTTTATATTGATGTACATCACCTGGAGTTACAAATGTGTTAAGATGGATAGCCATACACATTTCATATATTAAAGAGAAAATACTTCACCTATGATAAATCTGGTTTAGGCTGTTTAAGTATAGACACTGTATAATCCAGATTGTAAATTGGATGTTTGATGAACAGGAGGCAAATTAAAAGAGATAAATGGGTGCTGTGTGGATGCTATTCCTATAACAGATGATAGTAGCTTCAATAAATTTCTTTCACATTTCTTTCTATTCAGGTTATGTTATAGTGGAGTATTGAGAAATCACCACTGTCCTAGGTTATCTGTAAAATAAATATTTTACATCTTCACATCAATGTATTGTGCACATTGATTGTAACCAACTATCTTTGTGTAAGGTCCAAATCTAATTGTACTGTACTGTTGAAACCATTAGGAAACATTACCATGCTTTGTTTTTGATAGGGAACTATTTGAGAAAATTGATTGGAATTTTGTAATTGCAGAATCTCTTGCATTGAAATAATGCATTCTTTAAGGGGTTTACTTGACATAAGAATATTATTAGAGGATGATACATAGCTTTTGTTGAACTGAAAGCAAGTGCAATAATTAGTTTATTGATATACTCAGAAGACATCTTGACATTTTCTGATCCAAATGACAGCTTGGCCAAGCACAAGAACAGCCACGTCTTATCTCCTTATACTGTCACCTAAGACTATCCCAGAAGGATTAGTCCTGTTTCCACAATACCTTAATCCATTAACTTAAATTTCCTTACTGGTAGTTCTGGCAAAACAACTATACTAATTCGGTAAACAAACAAACAAACAAACAAACCCAAAAGACAAAACATTGGGGAACACTGAGGCTCCACCTATTTTCTCCCCCAATTCCCAAGTATTTCCTAAGATCTTGCATCAGAGAGTACAGAGTATCCTATAGTATCAGAGAATACATAGTATCCTATGACTATCACTAAGTGTTGTATCTTCTGATTTGTGATGAATGTATTTTTATGATGACTATGATCATGACTTATTACTTATTGCGTTTATGTACACTGAGAGCTTATGCACCAGAGACAAATTCCTTGTGTGTCCAATCACACCTAGCCAATAAAGAATTCTATTCTATTCTATTCTATTCTATTCTATTCTATTCTATTCTATTCTATTCTATTCTATTCTATTCTACTCTACTCTACTCTACTCTACTCTACTCTACTCTACTCTACTCTACTCTATTTATTTTACTTTAAATAAGTAAATAAGCCAGACAGGAAGCAGTAGATGTGAACTGGTCATTGCAGTCAGTCAGTGGAAATATGTTTTACAATTGCAGGCTTCTAGTTGTTGAGTTTTTTAAGAGGAAGGCTTGGGGGGGGGTGTTTTAGCCTCATTTCAGACTGTTCCATGCAACCTCCTTGTTGCAGCACAAGGACACCTGTTTGCCAAAAATCTCTCTTCACACCAGAACTCCTTCTAACTGGAGACCCACCGAGAAGTCCATGCAAACAAATGAAGATGTATAGAGGAGGAGCTTGCAGAGGTTGGAGATCCACCCTGCTTTGAATTGTGTGTCATGAGACCAACCCCTATTTGGTGGCTGGGTGCCACAAAGGCCAAATATTTTTTGTCTTGACTTGAGGGAGAGGCAGGACCATGGGAAAAGCAGGGATCCTTTGCAGCATTCTTCTTTCCTTGGCTAGATTAACCACTTTACCTAAAGAATTGCATAATGAGAGTAGGAGCAAAGAAGAGTTGCCAAGGTCCTCTGGCTGTATTCAGCAGTTACAGCGTGATACTGAAAAAAGATTTGCTGCAACATTTCTCCATTTTTTTTTTCTTTTGTTCCTTAAGGCACCAGAAATGTTGAGCATGCAAATGTGCATTTCAAGTCATTCATTAAGTATTTTGCTTCCTGGTTTACTGGTTAGCAAAAAAGGCATGGTAAAAGTTCATTGTGATTGTTCCTCAGAGTCGGGTGTTTCCAGCAAGTCATTTCCCCTTTTCCAAAAGCTACTGAGAGGAAAAGGAGGGGATACCCTGCTGCTTTTTGTCAACCAGTAAAGGAAGGGGAAGAGAGCAATGAACCATTAAGAGAAGACAGAAGGCAATTCACTGAAAAAAAAGAGGAAAGTATGAGAAAGAAACTCAAAAAGCCTCGCCTTGATTCTGTTTCGTATAAAGTGGGCTGAGAAATTCTGGCAGGCTCTCAAGACTCTGTTATACTACCTACAGCTATAAGGGATGTTCCTCAAATCCCTGCTGCTTCTATTCCTTACCTTGGAGACTGATATATTTGGGCAAAATCAAAAGAGAGGAAAGGCTATGTCAGTGGCCAACATTGGTACCAGGTCTCCTGCTGCACTGCCCATCTCTTGTTAGACATTGGTTCATCATCATCTTCCATTGCAAAAGCAAAGGGAGGAGAAGTAGAGGAGGAGGAGGAGGAGGTGGTGGTGGTCATGCTTTAATGCTACGGGACTGCAGAATGGAAGAGAGAAGGAACATCTGCAGTGTGTGTTTCCCTTTATGCTACAGCGGACAAAAATACCAGCTGTTGGAGCTGCACCCTATTATTATGTCTACCCTATAATGTGTCAAATAAAATTTTCAGAGGGAAGGAGAAGTAGACTTATGCTAAAAGGGGTGTGTAGGTATGCATGCACTTATTGGCATTGGATTTATGTGGAAAAAACCATTTCATCCATAGCCTTGGTGTGATGGTCTTGCTGAGCCTCTTCTATTAGAATGCAGCTGGATTTGAAGGAAAATATGCTCAGGTCTCAAAGCTGATCTTCTGTGTTTGAAATGAGCTGCTTGCAACTTCAGAATGTGCAAGGCCCTTGCCTTGGTTGGAGGTGCATTTGAAAAGATGAAAATACAGTAGAGCCTAGGCTTGCAGAAGGAGGAAGAATTCTTCAGACATGTTCCTCCATACTGTAATAATGGGCAGAAGAAAAGGCAGAGAAAAGACATCCTGTGTGTAGCATATGCATCAGTTAGGATGGGGATGGAATGGAGATGCACTGAGTGAGTGAGTGAATGAATGAATGAATGAGACTGCTTTCATCTCCGAGACTCCCAGTGGTTACTGCCCTCACACACCCTAATGTTTGTTGAATTGAGAACAGCAACATTAATATCAGCATTGTAACTGAGGCACAGTATAAAGTACAATCACTTAAATATCAGTCAGCAGTGTGCTGTAGCTGCCAAAAAAGCCAACATAGTACTAGGCTGCATTAACAGAGGGATAGAATCAAGATCACATGGAGTATTAATATCACTTTGGAATGCCTTGGTAAGGCCACATTTGAAATACTGCATCCAGTTTTGGTCACCATGATGTAAAAAAGATGTTGAGACTCTAGAAAGAGTACAGAGAAGAACAACAAAGATGATTAGGGGACTGGAGGCTAAAACATATAAGGAACGGTTGCTGGAATTGGGAATGTCTAGTTTAATGAAGAGAAGGACGAGGGGGGACATGATAGCAGTGTTCCAATATCTCAAGGGCTGCCCCAAAGAAGAGGGAGTCAAGCTATTCTCCAAAGCCTCTGAAGGCAGGACAAGAGGCAACGGGTGGAAACTAACCAAGGAGAGAGCAACCTAGAACTAAAGAGAAACTTCCTGACAGTTACAACAATTAACCAGTGGAACAACGTGCCTCCAGAAGTGGTGAATGCTCCAACACTGGAAGTTTTTAAGAAGAGACTGGACAGCCATTTGTCCGAAATGGTGTAGGGTTTCCTGCCTGAGCAGGGGGTTGGACTAGATGACCTCCAAGATCCCTTCCAACTTTATTATTATTATTAAGTAGGCTGTGAGGACAGCAGCTTTTATATTGCCACCTTAAGAACAGAGGAAAATGTATTGCTGCTCTGTGGATGATCTCTTGATCTCCAGCTTATTTTTTGAAGAACTTGTATGCTAGTTATATGACCTAGTTATGTGAAAAAGTAACTGTTCGAAGATAAAATATTTCATTTGTCTTCTGGAACACACCAGTCCAGCTGTTTTAGGGATGGTATAGTAAATTTACAGGAAGTGATTTGTAATATTGTTGATATGGGTCAGACCCCAAACCAGAAGAGTCAAAGGAAGAATCAGATAGAGCTGAAATTAGTCACTATCAAAATGTATCAGTTGATGATATTGTGATGAAGACACATTGCTGGTATATTCCTCTCATATATGTTTTCTCTTAGTGCAATGCTTGCACTTAAGACTGCCACTGAATTCTTTTTAAATTTTATATGTACCTTGTTAACATTTGCTACCCAAAAACAGCTATTACATCTTCAGTTTTTTTTATCCTTTTCCTGCATCAGGCAATGTCATTGCCTTTGAAGAATCTTTTACATTTCTCATTATACTTTTAAATTTTGCTTAATTTTACATAACACTTTTGTAACTTCTTCCTTGAAGGATTGTAAGGATTTAGTCTTTGAAAGACAATAGCAGAAATGTAAAGTCAAATGTAAGTCAAATGAATCTTGATTCCTGTTGTGAACATAAAGATAAACAACTGGGAATGAGGTAAGAGGGTGTTGTTGCAAACAAAAGTGGCCTATTTTGAAACAAAATAGGAGTCAGGAAATGCAGTTGAAAATATAATCATTGCTTCTTGAGATCTACAAGGTTGATCAAATTCATGACACTAAAGGTTTCACTAATATTTAAGGGATCCTTTCTTCACTTGATTATATAACTTGATTGTAAGACACTAAGATCCTTATTGTCTTCATAATTCTAAATAGTAATTTCCTTCCACAAGACTGTAGATTAACAGTAAAAAAAAATTGACATTTTAAT